GAATTACTGTAATTTGTACAGATTGACAATTTTGTTCTTTCTGCTATTATTTGAACATGATCAGGGTAATTGTAAACTTAGATCTAAGGCCGTTGTAAATTAAATTGGCTACATTAGTGTCTAGATTCGCTGCAACGGAAATAGATTTGATATTAATTTTAAATCAAAGTAAAATAACTAAACGTGTAAAATTGTATGATATACAGGGTGGCTGGTCATCAGTGTTACAAAAATTTTTTGGCGTAAGTACTAAGTAAATGCAGTGTAATGATGCATATAAAAGGTTCCAAGTCCAAAAATTAGCTTCCCAAAGAATTATTTTATGTTTTTCAAAAATAACTATGTTTTGAAACTTAATACAGCTATTTCTCAATTACCTGTAAATGGATTTGAGTACACAATGTCATTTTCGTGTTCTACATTAAATTTTGAATAATAATAATAGAAAATGACAGAGGATCAATTGTAAAAACTCCATTGTAAATAGATTCAAAGATAAAAAATAAGATGTATGAAAAAAATTTAAAAAACATTGGTCTATTGTATTTGTTCATACCCTGTATACAAGAAAGTGTCCGAATATGTTAAAAACTGCGTCATTTTATAAGCTTTCCAACCATATGCTACACTATTGAGGTTTAGATATTCTGTTGTTTGTTTTAGTGGTTTGAATACCAGAAAACAGGGAACTTTTTTACTGTTTTTACTGTTAAAGCTGAAACAAAAATACAACTTTTGCTTAATACATACCGGCTTTCTATGTTTTAAATGTTAAAGACACCCTGTTTTCTGGTATTCAAACCACTAAAACAAACAACAGAATATCTAAACCTCAATAGTGTAGCATATGGTTGGAAAGCTTATAAAATGGCGCAGTTTTTAACATATTCGGACACTTTCTTGTATACAGGGTGAGAACAAATACAATAGACCAATGTTTTTTAAATTTTTTTCATACATCTTAATTTTTATCTTTGAACCTATTTACAATGGTGTTTTTACAACTGATACTCCGTCATTTTATATTATTCTTATTCAAAATTTAATGTAGAACACGAAAATGACATTGTCTACTCAAATCCATTTACAGGTAATTGAGAAATAGCTGTATTAAGTTTGAAAACATAGTTATTTTTGAAAAACATAAAATAATTCTTTGGGAAGCTAATTTTTGGACTTGGAACCTTTTATATGCATCATTACACTGAATTTACTTTATACTTACGCCAAAAAAATTTTGTGACACTGATGCCCAGCCACCCTGTATATCGGTAATTATTTAATATCAATCAACTTCGTGCTGTGCTATTTAAGAATCTATCCGTAAGGAGCTATACCAGTTAGTTTATCATCCGTCAGGGTAACATGGGAGATAACTTACTGGGCTTCGTACTTCTACCATCACCGTAATCGAAATTACAGTAAATAAATACAATTAGGTAAATAATGTGTACGAGTGTACATTTTAGGCTGATTTCAGAAAGATACATATTTTCCAAATCGACTTTATATAGGCCTAAATTTCAGATTTCACACAAATTGAGATGATGATAAACAATAAATTTATCAATGGGCACTTCTTTCCCCAAAGTCCAATATTGCTCGCCCAACTAATTGTAGGTACGAACCAAAATTGTTGGTGGTTGCTTCAAGTTCACTTTGACAACATAATCAACGTGACATTATCCCGTTTACAACCCAGACCTCATTCTGAGCTATGACGTTCCATTAGCCTAGCTTTTGTCCAGATCTGGCTCTGTACAAGATTGGATTTGTTCAGTTATTGGCTTAGTTTCGTTGTACCAAGATTGGCACAAATTGTCATTGGTCTAATGAACTGTCAACCCAGACCCCACTGTTGATTGGTTTTCATTGTGTAAGAAACTGTAATGGAATTGGCTTTGAGTTTGCAAATACAGATTGAAATCAACAACTCATGTTTAGGCCTATTTGTGACGTAATATGAATCAAGTGTAACATAGAGTTAAAAGATAATGTAATGTTTTATAAAAATTAGGAGTGGCTTCAAGATACTTTCTCGTTGATGGGGGAGGGGGGTAATTATTTAGTCTTTGGCCTTTGGCTTTGGGTGCATTTTTCGTTTATTAACCGGATGACATAAATTACGTATTGACAGGGAGGGGGGTGTGCAAACACTGCTCATTTTAATAGGGTTCAAAATTTTAAATATTTCTTTGTTAACAGTTTTATAAGACAATGTGAATAATTCTACCATCGTAAGGATAAACCTTGAAAGGGCGAATTTCGTTAAACCATGAAATACTGGATTGAGTAATGATTTTCGCGGCCAAGTCTTAAAAATAGGAACGATTTTTATTGTAGATTGTTTCAACTTTCTGTGCTGATAGTTCGAGGCATTTCGATCCTCCTCTTTTTGTGATTTGGGATTTAAATCCAATTCTAGAACCTTCTACGATTGCGTCAAATCGTGATTTCTTTGGCGCAATTAAGGCTATCGTGAATTTTCGATTGTGCAAACTTTTAGAGATTTAATTAAATATACTAAGGCGTAAATATGAGAGAACCCTGTTAAATATTTCTTTTGCTCCCGGAATTTCTAGGAAAGTAAACAAGAAAACAATAAGGAAGGAAAAATATAAAATGTCAACCAGTTTCCCCAAATTACCCAACCCCAAATCAAAAACAACCCCTATCAGCCAATGGCCACTGTAAGGGCTAACCTGATTTATGTTGACCAACCCTCTACCCAAACGTTTAGCGAGCCTCGAACCCCCGGATTTTTTTCTCATAACGTAGCCCATCGGGAGGCCCCCTGATTTTGATGCTGTCTCTTCCACGTAGCCTAACTACCCCCTCCCTTTGAAAAGACTAGTTAATTATCTCTGGGCTTTTTAATTATCCCATCCGCCACTGGATGCGCTTGACATTGTCAGCGACATAAACAATCATCCCCTCTCCTCTTGCTCCGATCATAACCGTATTGTATTCTATTTTAAGGTAGATTTAGTTATGTTCAGATGAACTTTAAAAGTGTTATTTAGGATGTGGGATAGTTTGTGGAAGGTTTTACAAAAACGGGACGGATCGGGATTTTTGTAAAAAAAAATATATAGTTGTAAGTAATTTTTGTTTACAACTGTAGACTTTTTGTTACAAGGCGGCATGGAATCCATCCGTGCAAAAGTGTTTTTTTAATGAGTGCAGTACTTTGAAATATTACCACACTGTAGTGTTTGAATTCACATAATTAAGTCAATTAATGTAAAAAAATAATATCTTGACTCACGTTTAAAAGGTACGGTAATTTACATTTTTCAATAATTTTCCATCAAAACAATTTTGTGAACATAATGTAAATATAACAGTTTAGTATTATTTAGTATATATTTTTATCACACGGTCAATGAATCTGGGTTTTACGGCTTAAATTACTACAAATCTGTTTAAGTGAATATTCAAATTAATGGCGCATAAATTTATCGTTTTATTTACTTATATCGTATTTATTTTTAGTTTTACAGTACCTAATCGATATTTTTACATTGCAATCATTTTTAATTACTAATTGTCGTTCTTCTTGCTGATTTTGATTGTTACATGTCGTACTTTCATTCATGAGTAGAACCACGAATATCTTTGGTAAAACCGTTAAACAAAGATATACTGAAAATTAAAACCTGCTATTTGTTTCTCTAAAAAATATCTGGACAAAAATTAAAATAACGTAGTGGGTGGCAGGACAAAAAATATCAACATACTTAATAATCAACACTTAATACAATAGTGGGTTTCTCACCTACAATCTAGGTGTAATTTCAAAGCTTCTAAAACAAGAATATTTGGAACCACAGACTATATAACCAATTAATGGTCTATTGTCTGTGCTAGAACCTAACCTAACCAAAATAGTCGTTAGGGTTATTGATTTTATATAAATTTCAAATGTGCCACCAGTCAGAATATTCTGGGTTCAAGGCGCGCCTGCATTAGTTGTGATACAGTTGTGCAATACATTTCAGCACTATCGCTATCGCATGTGGTTTGCAGACGCTAATTAATAATATAACTTTATTACCCTCTGTTGAGCAAACCTGCAGACAAATTTCTATATTTGTTTGATTGGATTTTTAATATTTTTTAAAGCCAGATTTAATAGGTTAAGACAGTACATAGGTTTGCTGCTAAAGTGTAACAAAAATTATTTTTTTATGGTAATAATACCCGTTCTTATGTTATAAAAAATAATTTGCCAAATTATATCCATAAACAAGCAAACCACAAGAATATTTTTCTCCATACAAATAACAGGAATATTAAATGTAAAGTTTTGTTGAATTTTGTCCTTAATCTTTAATTGTACAATAACGCTTCAACATACACGATTGATAGGCCTTGCCTTCAAGTTGAAAATATTCACCTTTAATATTCTTTCAGGTTTGAGAAAGAATGTGAGGCTTCAGTCCCCGAGGTCTTAGGTTCGAATCTCCACAATCACTAATGGTTTTTTTAGCTATGTGTAGAGTAAAATGCTGCCGAAATCGATTACAAAATATTTCTAATGAATCTCAGTGGGAGCACTCCTTCAGCATAAATAATTAAGACCAATATTGTTTTCTAAGAGTGGAAGGGAAACTGCCAATTTAGAATGTCTAGTTAGTAGTTATGTTAATTGGCTGAAACTGAAAGCAGACAAAAAACTCAATTTGAAAAAACAACTATCTTTTCAGATGATGTTATAGGTACATTGATGGTTGATACCGATGGGTTATACAGATGCTCTTCTGATCATTTTCTCACTCATTCATTCGACACTCGTCCTCACCTTAAAATACGCACACTAGTGTTTCAGCGTAATAGAAATATAATATATGTGGCTCACTTGCGTTTAGTCCAAGTTGCAAGAAAAGACACCAACTACCATCTCCCCATCTGTCATTCAACAGATGTATTGATTCTATTGGGCATACATTATAGCAACACTTTCGGATGAGGAGGGTACAATGCATACGTGTTTGAAATAAGACATAAAATTGCTTTATTTGAACCAATTACAAAATGACCACAGATTACTATAAAAATCAATACCTTTAGACCTTATTCTAAAGCAATTTCTGACTGATGAGTCACATCTACTACAGTTTTTAAATAGGCTTCCATTTCATATATAATAAAAAACTCAATAAAAAATCTTCCTATGTAAAGAAATTGCATAGAATTAAATAGTTTCAGCAGTTTGAACACTCATGTATGTTCAAGTATTCTCAAAAAGATAAACTTTTCAAAAAAATAAATTTTCTCCTTTAACATAGAAAAATTTAAATTGTGATCGCAACAGAAACACACGTCCCAAATTGTGAAAGAAATACTTTAGGAAAAGTAAAAAAGATTAGTAGGTAAATTTGTAAATTCCATAGTGATTCGACTTAAAAATAAAATAAATAAGTAAAATAAGAACTTACTGGCTATGCACTCATAACTTTAGAAATTGATTTTCATACTGTGAACAAAAGATATTAGATAGATAGTTTCAGTGCTGAGGACAAATATATAACAATTATTGCAACAGTTTAAATGTTACTAAGTCTTCACCACTTATGATTAACTACATTCAATGGACCATTCTTAGTCCTAGTCTGCACTGTTTAACAGCATGATTAATACATAGTGATGAAGCCTTTTACATTGTTTTATATCGGCATTGAAGTTGTCATATTTTCAAATGCACAATTGAAAGCGAGAAGACCAAATATCTTGCAGAATTTGATATAAATTAAACAAAACCTAAAATATTTCAAACCTACACTGTCAGAACTTTAGGTTTGAGAGACACTAGAAATGCGTGTAGGCCAGTAAAAAAAATAAACTTTTTCCTTTAACATAGAAAAATTTAAATTGTGATCGCAACAGAAACACACGTCCCAAATTCTGAAAGAAATACTTCAAGGAAAGTAAAAAAGATTAGTAGATAAATTTGTAAATTCCATAGTGATTCGACTTAAAAATAAAATAAATAAGTAAAATAAGGTAAGAACTTACTGGCTATGCACTCATAACTTTAGAAATTGATTTTCATACTGTGAACAAAATACTAATATTAGATGGATAGTTTCAGTGCTGAGAAAAAATATATAACAATTATTGCAATAGACAGTTTTAATGTTACTAAGTCTTCACCACTTATGATTAACTACATTCAATGGACCATTCTTAGTCCTAGTCTGCACTGTTTAACAGCATGATTAATACTTAGTGATGAAGCCTTTTACATTGTTTTATATCGGCATTGAAGCTGTCATTTTTTCAAATGCACAATTGAAAGCGAGAAGACCAAATATCTTGCAGAATTTGATATAAATTAAACAAAACCTAAACGATTTCAAACCTACACTGTCAGAACTTTAGGTTTGAGAGACACTAGTAATGTGTGTAGGCCAGTGGTTCCTGTACGACTTAGAACTTGTCTTCGCTGCACTTTTCTTCAGAGAGGCGCTTGAACTTGGAGATAAGATCTGGAAGGTTGAGTTCTCCATGGATGACGTTATCTCTGGTCCGGACGTTCACCGTCTCAGCTGTCTTTTCCCTCTCTCCAACCACTGAAAAGGTTAAAATGTAATATTTTGTTGTACAATTTGAATTGTACAGTATATTCAACCAGAACAGTTTTAATAACACCCCCGTGCTCATGCAATGATAAAAGTCGTTTCAACATATTTTATTTAAAGTTCATTGTTCGTGATGGCAAGTTTATGTTGTTAAAGGATTTTTCCAGAGATTTTTATTTCTGACTATTTTAGTTTAATAGTGATTTTCCCATGAAATAACAGTACAGTAGTCTTTCAGTAATCCGGCAGACATAGGCCCTTGATACTGCCACCTTAGTGAAAATGCCGAATTACTGGAATTTGATCAATAAAAACACTTTAACGTCTATATGACCGCAGGAGATGTTCATGATTTGCCGCGATCGTGCATGACGACGATGACGTTTCCGTGACTGCGGGAGTAGACAATGATGTTTACACGGTCGTGGGTGATGGTAAAATTTTTGCCGCGACCACGGAAGATAACGGTAATGTCTACATGATTGCGGGAGATGTTCATGATTTTGCCGCAATCTGGCATGACGACGATGACGATTCCGTGACTGCGGGAGTGGATGATGATGTCCTCACCCATCAAAAGATGCCGGATTAGATAGGGTCTACTGTACTATTGGATTTAGAGAAAATTTGCTGAAACAAGATTTTTTACATTTGGTATGTTATGGCCCTTTCAACTGGCCTAACAAAATGCTAGTAAAACCCCCAATGCTAGAAAAATTATGTTTAAAAAGTGATTGAAACTTGTATGATACCTCCCATAAAATATCATAATTAGGTACTTCAACCCCTTACTTGTGTTAAGGGGTGCTGATCCCTTCATTTTATAAGATCTTTGTTTTATTGCAAGCACAGCTTAGTCAAATAGTGTGGTATATTCTTTAATATATTAGAAGTAAAAACGTCTAAATTAATAATTTTATTGACAAGAATTTAGACTGCGGACTGCAGTGAGGAATTCTATTTTTTCATGTAGGAGTTCATAGGTTATAAAAGGGCTTCAGTCAAGATGAAGTTCACAATTTTCAAATAAATGCACAATGTGGCCTCTTACGGATTTCATACAAATTAAAAATATTTATTCGAGAGAAAAAAATAAACACAAGTGAGCCTACTATTAATGTTAAAACTGTTAGAAATTTCACGTTTCTACGTACCAAGGATGAAGTTGTACTGAGCGAGTTGAGCGTTTCTGATCTTCTTGTTCATAGTGTCGCCAGAGTCAATGTCTAGTTCACAGATGAAACCAGCCTCGTACAGCAAGTTCTTGACCTACACAACAATCATGCTATTAGATTGTGTTCTGAGATCAGATGTCTGTGATATATGGGGTAAACCCCACCAAAGGGCTTTATATGGATCAGGCCATCTCTAAATGATCGATGATTTCTGATGTTAACACAGAGGCCTAAAAAGAAGTAATGGTGTGTTTTGGTACATCTACAGTACAGATAACCTAATAGGCCTACATAACAAATGTCATACAAGAGTGGTAAATAATTCTTACCTTTTCAGCGTAGTCTTGGAACGGAGGTCCGACCGGGATGACCATGACTTGTCGAGGGGACAGCCAGAACGGCCACTTGCCAGCGTACGACTCTGTCAGAATAGCGATCATACGCTCCACAGATCCTAGAATGGCCCTGTGTATGATCACCGGCCTAGTCTTCTCTCCATCATCACTGTAACAAAATTACCAAACTGTACTACGTCTCACTGACGTTGTAGGATGAGGACAAGTAGACAGTCGAACCTCATTACATAACCTTCACTGTAAAAAGGAAGAATATTGACAAACAAATTCAGAACTAAAGCTGATCATTGTTGGCAATGAGTGGGTATAAACTAAAACATAACCTCTTGGGAAAGTAATGAGTAGTGATTGTTAAGTCCTGTAGTTGGTGAGAATATATAATGTACAGTTGATTTGCACAGAATTATTTGTACAGTTTTTGTTAATTATAGGCAAGTTTAGAGTAGTATGGCAAAAAGTATCGTACGCCACTTATCCAAAATGTGTTTACTGTACTCGTACGGTAATCCCACACAAAACTAATAGTCTTCTGGTAAACATGTATTTTCCGGTCCAGTAACGTACTATTACTTCATCTTTACTGACTCAACCAATCGTTGTAAAATAGGCAAATAAAAACAAACAAGAATTGAAATACCTACTTGATGTACGACAGGTTGAACCTGATGGGTAGCTGGAAGTCCAGCTGGATCGTAGCGCACTGATGGTTGCGTCTCAAAGCGTCCATGATTGTAATGTCAATCTTGGGGCCGTAGAAAGCTCCGTCACCCGGGTTCTCTCTCCACGTCTCTCCAAACTCATTTAAACTGTCTGCAAGTTGCTGTAAATCAACATTTCATTTATATAGTTAATAAACCACAATAGTACCTGATACATAGTGGTTTCAGAACTATTTCTTTTCAAATATCATAGGAATAACATGGTTTTCTAGTAAAAAGACTCATGATTATAATGATATACAAGGTGTCCTGGAACTCTCTACCAATATTTTAGGGCATTGTTCCTGGGTGGTTAACATACCTAAATATCATATTTAAATTGTCCGGAAGTCCTTAGTTACTCACACAGCCGCCATTTTGTTTTTTTAAGTTATTAATTTTTTTCTAAGGAATGGTTAAACATAGGAAATTGAAACTGTGCACAAACATTTATGACAACTAGACAAAGCTACCAAAAAATTATGACTATTTTTTAAATTCATAAAACAAAATGGCGGCCATTTTAAATTTTGTTTCTTTAATAACTCGAAAACCGTTGATTTTACAAAAATTTTACAAGAATAACTTTTTAAGGTAATTTTATTACAAATCGATTGACACCTTAACTTTGAAGATTGGACAAGTATTAACTGAGATATGGTAGTTTTAGTGATACGTAACCGCTGGAGGATAGTTGCAGCGCATGCTGAAAGAGGTCACGTATCACTAAAACTACCATATCTCAGTTAATACTTGTCCAATTTTAAGTTAAGGTGTCAATCGATTTGTAATAAAATTACCTTAAAAAGTTATTCTTGTAAAATTTTTGTAAAATCAACGGTTTTCGAGTTATTAAAGAAACAAAATTTAAAATGGCCGCCATTTTGTTTTATGAATTTTAAAAATTGTCATATTTTTTTTGGTAGCTTTGTCTAGTTGTCATAAATGTTTGTGCAAAGTTTCAATTTCCTATGTTTAACCATTCCTTAGAAAAAAATTAATAACTTAAAAAAACAAAATGGCGGCTGTGTGAGTAACTAAGGACTTCCGGACAATTTAAATATGATATTTAGGTATGTTAACTACCCAGGAACAATGCCCTAAAATATTGGTAGAGAGTTCTGGGACACCCTGTATGTAGTGTTATTATTATTATTATTGTGGATGTTATTAAAATTATTAAATCTTTCAAAAATAATAAATCATCAGGCTGGGATGAAATACCACTAAATTTGGTCAAAAATGCTTCTAAATTCATTGCTCTTATCATTATAAACCAATCATTCCTCAATAGTAGTTTTCCTGAACACTTAAAATGTGCTGAACTTAACTCTTTTCAAAAATGGAGGGAAACAAAATCCAGACAATTATCGTCCAGTCTCACTTTTACCGACATTCTCAAAAGTTTTTGAAAAATGTGCTTCTTACCAAATATCTTCTTTTATGGAAACCCACAATATTTTGTCTAACAAACAGTTTGGGTTTAGAAAGGGTCGAAGCACCATGACAGCGCTTTCATACTTTGTTGAGGAGGTGTGTCGGATGAGTCGCATAGCACAATGGGGGTGTTTTGTGACTTATCCAAGGTGTTTGACTGTGTCAATCATGATATCCTGAAGGTTCACAAAAGTTTAGATTCAATAATTAACTTATTTAATAATGTTTTATTGAATCTGAGAAAAGCTCGGTCTCCCGGTACTAGAAAATAAAACAACAGTCATAAACTACATTTACATGAACTGATGAACTACACTTGAAAAACAAGCTTCAAAATTTACAATGGGATGAGAAGTCTACTTGTGTTGGTTAGTCTAGTCTTTTAGTCTTTTGACTCTTATTTAAAAAACAGAAAACAGTTTGTTGAAATTAAACATATTAATCATTTCAATCAGTTAATACACCGTAATTCGAATATTAAAGATATTAAGTTCGGAGTCCCTCAAGGCTCTATTCTGGGTCCATTACTTTTTCTATGCTATCTTAAGGGTTTACCTAGCATCACACCTTTTGATAATATCACAATGTATGCAGATGATATAAATTTGCTGATATCACGTAAAACTCTTGATGAAATCGAAGTTTCCGCTTTTAACCAGATTTCAACCTTAGAACAGGCTCTTAACGAAAAATGCTTGCTACTGAATCCTAATAAAACTAAGTTCATCACTTTTACAGCTTGCTCTAGAATTAGACCTGCACCTGAGTTGACAATATTTCTTAATGATCATGTGTTGGAAGAGGTGGATAATTCTAGATTCTTGGGCCTAATAATTGACAAAAACTTAAATTGGAATAATCATGTTTTATCAATTTCTAAAAAGTTAGCTTCTGGTTTATTTGCATTAAGGAAGGTTTCTAAATTTAGCACTTTGGTTACAATGAAAACCCTTTATCATGCCCTTGTACAGTCTCATATCGCTTTTGGTATTGTTTTATATGGTAATACCTCAAATGAAAATTTAGATGAACTTCTTATCCTTCAAAAACAAGCAATAAGAATAATTTTAAAGCTAAATTGGGATGATTCTGTTAAACACATATTTACTGAATTGGAATTTTTGACTGTATATAGTCTATACATTTTTGAACTTATTTTGTTTATAAAAAAGAATTCTCATAGAATAGAAACGTTAGGACAAAACCATAGTTATAATACTAGAAACAATAGAGTATTTGCTTATACAAGCCACAATCTTAAATTATATGAAAAGAAACCTTCCTATGCAGGTATTAGATTCTATAATGCTCTTCCGGTGGATTTAAAATCCACAGAAGATTTTAATGTTTTTAAGAAAAAACTGAAAAATGTAATGCTATCCAAACCGTTGTACTCTCTATATGAGTTTTTTTTATTAATGTAATGATATAAACTCATCTCTAGGTCTATTTCATGTATATTGCAGTGAAATCATTAACATCTAATATTTTTGTATAATGTAGTAAGTTAGAAAAATGTTTAAATTGACGCTATTCTATGTACGCATGTATGAGAAATGAATAAAGTTATTTTGAATCTTGAATCTTGAATCTATGCTGATACTTTTAGTATTTGACTACTTCTAACCTGCATCATATGGCAATAAGAGTATCGCTATATGGAAGACAAATTTACTAGATACAACAGATTCAAAATTCAGAAATTCAATTAGTAATCTGCCTTGAAAAATTTGATTATGTAAAACAGCTGGTCCATTCCTATGAAAGTCATGTGCTGGTTTTTGACTTGCTACTTGATTCATAGAGTAGTGAATCTTTTGTGAGCCCAACTATACCTTTGCAAGAGGCTTTGAGTCCAGGTATGAGGTTATCAGGATTAGGACACGCCATAATGGGAGGCATCACCTTGGAGTTGGATAAGAAACGTTTATCTTACTTTGAACCCACATATTACAGGAGGCTACCCAAGATTCTAAAAATCATTGCATCCAGCAGTACTATTAAAATTACCTTTAAACAGTTTTTAAAAGAGTTAAATATTTTGTTGTCCAGTACTGTTACAATTGTTCTGAAAAACTGATATGGGTATCAAAGAAAACCTTATTATTATTAAGACAAGTTATTTATTTATAGTTAAAGAATACATTTTCACACATTTTCACATTGATTATGATGTAAATGATAATAAATCTTTAGCTTCTGAACGATACATCATGTGTTCTTAAGCTTCATGTTTAATGTGTTAATGTGTTAATTAAAATTTAGTTAACAATTAATTATAAAAAATTGTCACTACTAATAGCTAAATGCATTGGCAAAATGGGCGTACAAAACATACATAAGTGGATTCCATTGCTTGTTATAGAAGATGCAGCTTTACAAAAATTTGTTTTTCCAGTTTTTTCATCAACTCTTAAACACATTTAAAAAGTGCATCTCGTTTCTCCAGAGTCAATAAAAAATATATTTTCAATTTTTGTTTTTAACTTGTGTTTTAAATTTAAACATGCTAGCTACTTATCAAACAGTTTATTGGTTTCTGGAGGAAATATTTAAATTTTATTGTAAACTTAAAAAAAAAATATAACACATGATTTATTGTTCAACAAGAATTACATTTTGAATCCACAACATCTTGCTTGAAAATCTATTTATGCAAATACATTTTTACAGAGCTCCATAGCTTGAAGGTTATTAAGTACAAAAACTCAAATACAACCATAACATTGAAGCCATTAAGCATCCCAAAAATGCTGATACAATAAGCCAAGAACTGACTCATGTTGGTTATGCTTACACCAACCCTCACAGTAGTGTAGCATCCTTTTTCTTTGTAACGTAATTCTATTGATCCAGAAGTTCCCCCAACACCCTTTTTCCCGGACTTCTTCGGTGTCAGATATAAGGCACTTTTATATGACTCTTTAAGTTCATAAGACAATGATATACAGTCCGGTAAGCATCCACAGTCACACATTTCCTTATTTACAGAACATTTTCGAAGGCAAATCTTTATGGAAATATTGTGACGAGGCAGGTAATAAGGAACACATCCACACTTAGTTAGAGAACAGTTAGCAATACATTCTGTCTCACAGTTTCCTTCTGTGTAGAATTTGAACATAGACAACTCTCTTTCATCGGAATAGTAACAGCCTCTCTGGTGAGGTGAATAGCTTTTGATGCCTTCATCTGTTGTCACAAGTTTAGGAACGACTTTGAAATGTTTTGCAAATCCTCCTTCAAGTTTCAAGTCATTTTCAAAGTTAAAAGGAATTTCAAATGGACTGTGTACAGCAAAATAAGTGTGTGCCTTATTTTCTTGAAAACATCTTGAAAACATGTCTTCATGTTCATCTGTAATAATACGTGACTTGAGAAGCATGGCTTATCTTTGGTAATGTACGGCGGTATGGTATGTAGATTCCCACCAGAATAGAGCGCATTATCCAAGTTCAAACTTTCACCAGTGTAGTTTTTCTCTATATTTAAGTTGGAGCCATGTTTTGTTGATAAAATAGGTATTGCACTTTTTTTGTAAATGTCTTCATGATGCAAGCCATTCACAGTTATACAAACACTCTGATTTGTCAAGGAATATTGGCATTGGTTATTAGAACAGCCAGATTCATACGTTGTCACGAGTCCACCTTCATATTCTATTAACTCTTTCGATAAATGGATATCATACTGTGAAGTAATAGCTTTAAATGCATAGTTTGGGAACTCTACAAAATTGATGGTTTCTGGAATCTTTTCATGAAAAACTTCAGAGAACTGTAAAAGAGGAGGCAATATATGTGAACAAAGAAGATGGATTAAGCCTAAGGAGGCTTGATCTTCATGAGTACAGTCTTCATTGAAACAATAATTGTCATAATAACCTTGATCTCGAGCAACACTATCATGGCCATCATCCGCGGAATTGGAGTTGCACTTCCAGCACTTATTTATTACTCCAGCAAAATCTGATCTGATGATGGGGTCAAGCGGGTAACATATTGTTATAGCTGGGAATGGGATTTCACTGGCCAAAGTTAAGTTATTGGAAATATATCTAATAACAGGTGTACTTTGCCAGCTGTCATACTCACTCTTGATGAAAAACAAACTCAGCAATAATGCCAACATTTGGATGAATACCCACAAATAGGTGTGAAATCGAGGTTGGTTTCTTTCCCCAAGAAACTGAAACCCAGGCAAGCTTATAGACTTTGTCATGTTTCTGAAGTAAGAATGTGGAAAATGGTCTTCATCCAAATGGAACCTGTTGTGTATTTCTTCAATATCAGATTGACGTGTGATGTTGGTATTTACTGACCTGTCAATCGTATCTGGAGAGCGAACATTACCTGAGTTGGTATGATCACTGGATCCCATGCACTTTAAAAACTCTTCCACCTTGTTCAATCTCATTTGCATTTCAACCAATTCTAACTTGTAGGGAGACTCTTGCTGCTCTTGTTCTGGTGGAAACGAAGGATTCATGTTGCCAAACACGATAATGTGTGAATAAACACAATTTCTGTTTTTAAAGTTCACAATAACACCATTAAAATGTATAAACACTTTTTACACATATACGGTTCTACTTTAGCATCAGAATAAAATGGTGTTGCTTGTGATATCCTGTTGAAATAATTAGGGAAATGCATCAAAATCACCCTGTTTTTTTATTCAAACAGCTAATTTTATTACAACCACACCCTGTTAATTTGGGTAGCACACGAGTAGGGTGTTCAGGCTATTTTATAGGATCAATGACAATTATGTTTATCTAATGATGATTGGTTAAACAATAAATTGTATTATTTAAAAAAATAATAAGTGTTCACAGACTCAATATCCAATCAATAAAAAAATTTAAAAACATGATTCATTGTTTAAATCGTATTTAAATTGATTGTTCTCAGCTGAAAACTAAACCACTGTTTTCTGTTTTATTGATGTGCTCAAATCTCTATACCGGTGTATGAGAAATATTATATGAAATATTCCACCTCGTTGGAACATTATAGACCAACTAGGTTGAGTATATCAACTTAAGGCGTCATCTTTATTTCAATGCCGAGTTGGAGTCACGCTGAATGTTTGCAGCTGTTAGTTAAACGATAAAACAAATTTTACCTAAAACCGTTTTTTTTAAGTAGCCGTTTCAGTTCAGTTCTTAGAATTGAAAAGATTCACTTAACAGCATTGTTTACTTAAAAGCACATTTATTATTCATTGTGACTCTTGGTTGCAATATATTATTCGTAAAATAAAAGGATTACCTTATCCAACCACAGTAGTAAGTATGATAACTAGTTTCGTTCCTTAGAACTTCGTCAGGTCATTGTATGCAACCACATCATCAATGTATTAATACAATGTGGTACCGTATGTCAAAAGATACTGTCAAAGTCACAATAATCAAAACTTGTCATGTTGATCAAATAATTAAAATGGAATAAAAAGTGATAAAACTGGCTGAAAATGTAAATGCTGAGGCAGTAAAGGCTGAGTCTGTAAAGACACTGAGACAGTGATAAGACAGTGGTTACTATCATTGTCTTACCCAGCCGCCTTAGTAACCTACGTTGCTGCAACCCTACGCTATCCTACCCTGCACACCATCCCTGCTCCAGTACCCTACGCTACCCTAACCTACCCTGCTAGATACGGTGCAGGGGCTACTGGGGCTTCAAATTACCCTACCCTGTAGCCCCTACACCCCAACATAAAATAATAAAAAATATAACATATACCAACGAGCAGCTCTTGCACTGCACTCCATCTTCCCTACCATAAACCTATGTGCCCTACACTGCCCTACCAGTAACCCTGCACTCTGAACCGCCCTAACCCTAGCCTCCGAACACAAATGATGTCTGTTTTTCCATCATCAAACAGGAAAAAATATTAGTTTCCCCATTTTTTTAAATCAGCAAATCCACATAGTCTTTTCAGTTACCTTCTCGGCGTGGTCCCAGACGGAGATGTCGCCCAGAAACTTGTCTGGTCTTGTGGACAAACACAGCTGGAAGGTGAAGCCGAACACTCCGTAGACATGTCTCAAAAAGTCCAAGGCTCCGGTGATCTCAGCTTTGATCTGCAATGTAAATCAATAAAATATTGAATTAATAAATCTTGGTTAAAATTAGTTCATAGGCTATTGTTTGTTCTGTAGAGGTGTGCCAGCCAGAGATTATCAATCGAACAAACCTTTCAGGAAAAAGCTCGAGCCTCAACCTTTTTGTAGCTGAGCTTTTTTATGTTACGTATGCCAAGTTAATTTCAATTTGTCACAAATCTCCTTTTCAAAATGCAATAAAATGGCATGATGTAGGGATAATTTTTGTGAGTTTATCAAGGAATGAGCATAAAGGTTTGTTCATACAAGTGTAAATATTTCAGGGCTGTGCGAATCCAGAAATTTTGGTTCGAATCCGAATCATAGCTGTACAGATTTTATCGAATCCGGATCAAATCCGAATATTTTAATTAATCCCGCGTCGAATCTGGGTCGAATCCGAATCTCAAATTTACAGCCATTATCGAACCTGGATCGAATCCGAATCTTAAATTTAAAGCTGTTATCGAATCGGAATATTTAAACCTGTTCAGAGTCGAATCCAAATCCGAGGAAAGTCAGCAGTACCAATTTTCACATTTTTAGACCACATTTTCTGGGGCTGAAATAACTTAGGGAATTGCTTAAAAAAATTCTTGAAATGGGCCAAATAAAAAAGTTATAAAATTTAGGCCTACCTATTAGAAGTTTTGAAACTAAAAAATTGGGCATAAGTTAGGCATACCACCTAGGCCTAAGTTACTCGCTAAAAGTGATGGACTACCAATTTGTGTAGTCTAAGACATAGGCCCAGCCTATTATACACCTCGGTGTTAATCCTCCACACAAGCCTATGTCTGCATTACTATTACAAGTAACAACTAACACTGTGAGGTTAAGTTTACTGATAGCCAAGATAGGGTTCAAATGCGACCTACACTAATGTGCCTAAAGCCTAACACCAAGTTGGTCAGGTTCCTAACATGAACCAGTCAACAGCAAATCGGAGTGCACAAGTAGTTTTTTAGTGTCTAAAAAATTATATTGAAGATTATATTCAATCAGAATCTAGTAAATTTGAATATCGAATCCCAACTCGGATCTATTTCCAAGAAATTCGAATATCGAATCCGAACCCGGATCTCTTACCAGTAAATTTGAATATCGATTCCGAATCCGAATCCAGTTAGAAACAGTAGATTCGTTCTCGAATCCGAATCGAATCTCTAAAAAGATTCGGATTCGATTCGTTTTTCGAACTATTCGCACAGCCCTGAAATATTTTATTGGAATGTTTTGTCGTCTTATGTTCTCAGCGCCATCAACAGCATGTCCCACAATCGCAGGGCTGCGGCCAGCATGTCTCCAGTACTGTGCTATAATCAACATGGACCACGTTCACAGCACCATTTTTGACATGTCCCAGGGCTGCAGCCAACATGTTTTGTTGTCATGATTATCAATATCTCTTACGGTTACGATGCGATTGTAAACGAGGCAAAATCCTGAACATCTCCAATGGTTGTGTAGACACCATCATCGTCTCCAGCGACCACGGAAACGTTACTATCACGTTTTGCAGTCCAAATGACATTGCGATAGTAAAGCTTGGCTCTAGCTTGATTTTCTTAATTGGTGCTCGATCTCTCAGGCTTTTAGGTTAGGCTCGGCACAACCTCTAATGCTGTGTGATATTCTAGTTTTGCTTTACCTGGCTGACAGCACAGAAGATGTGAGCGTCGTCTTGCTGGAACCTCCTCACCCTGGTCAATCCTGTGAGGGCCCCTGACAGCTCATTACGATGCAATACACCAAAGTCGGCCATTCTCAGAGGCAGCTCTCTCCATGATCTGGGCCGATGGTCAAACACCAAACTGCGGGTCAGAAATACAAGATTGGTGATTTAGAAAACCATGAAAACATTTGTTGCTAAACAATCTGAATAATATTTTTTTAGCAATCAATAATTTCATGTTTATTACATAGTCTTATCCTTTTTGATTATTTTAAAAATATTAACTAATAACATTGTCATGTTTAGGATTTTTTTCATACACAATTACCTGTTAACATATTCTAGGTTCAATTACTTACCAGTGTCCAGGGCAGTTCATTGGTTTCAAAGCAAACATTTCCTTCTCAACATCAAAGGAGAACATGTTATCCTGAAAACAAAGGACAAATAGAATGAGATTTATCACCTCATTTATGAGCCATATGGCTTTTTCTCTGTTGTTTGTTCGGGTGTGTTTCTAAGCTAGTAGTTATAATCTTGAACATAGATGCAAGAGTGGGTTCAATCTAGAATTTTCACAATAATTTTAGAGGTTTTAACAGTTTTCTCTAGAAATTTTAATACTCTCAATCATAAAAAAAATTGTAATAACAAAACAAAAAAATCAATACATTAAAAATATGCTAAAACATAACCCTCATCACTTAACCTATCACTTTCAACTACAACACCACTGTGCTAGGTCTACTAACCGCGTAATGTTCCCAGTGACCCGACGTCTGCCACAGCTTGGCGTTGTATATGTTGGGCGTCACCACCTCCTGGAAGCCTCGCTTGCGGTACTCGGAACGGATAAAGTCTATCAGCTTGTTGTAGATGTGCGCGCCGCGCGGCTGGAAGAAACACGAGCCGGGGCTCAGCTCGTGGAAGAAGTACAGCTCTTGTTCCTAAAGAATCAGAAGAAAAACTCATATTCCCAGTTGTCTGGTTAGCCGTAATATACCATCAATTGTACGTTGCTCTTTAACTCTGAACATGCGTTACATTCTGTACCAGATATTGAAAACAAAAAAGGATAATCAAAATTATTGGCTACATTTTACTGAAAACATAGTAAATAATAGAGATTTTACTAATTGACCAGTCCTAAAAACGACAATAAGTTCTTTCAATTTGACCAAGCAACGTAAATTAGGTTCGAAACATATTAAAATTGTTGTCTAATACTGACAACAGCTTTAACATGATAGTAGAAAGTCTACTACTATTAATAGTTAAGGGTTTCAGCCTATAATATACCCCATACAACGCAATGTGAGCTTGAAATTCAATGTCATCTTATGATCTATATCAAAGCTTGAAACTAAAAGTTTATTTCGTAACATGAATTAAACTGCATGAAAACAAAGAAGTTGCTACATAGAATGGTTTCTAGTGTGTGACTCACCCTGCCGATCTTGCGATGATCCCGTTTGGCTGCTTCTTCCTGGAACTTCTCCCACTCCTTCATCTGCTTGTTGTCGGGAAAGGCGATTCCGTAGACTCTTTGAAGCGACTCTGCGTCCGACTTCCCCTCCCAATATGTGGCAGAGTTCTGTAAACATCTGCTATGAGAAACTTGAAAATATAGTTCAGTAAAATTAAAATTATTATGTTAGCTATTAATTACAAAACTGCACTCGTGAATGAATCTATATTGCCCTGCAGCCCTTACCTTGGTGACTTTGAAAGCCTTGACTTTGCCAGTGTGCTTGATGTGCGGCCCTCGGCACAGGTCTATTAGAGAACCACATCGGTACACGGTTGTGGTCGGTGTCTTCACTTTCTCCTTCAAGATCCTCTGCTTGAACTCATTGTACTGAAACGTCACAGAAAATAATTAACTTATGTGTAACAAGTAGTTGTCATCTCCGACTATGGTTAAAACTATACATACATTGAATTCCTAAGTTTAAAGTTGTTCCAATTCTTAGAATAAAACTTATGTAGCTAGTTTGTTTAAGTGGCCGACAGAGTGCAATGCTGTAAATAACTGGTTTCTGTCGAACACGCAGATGTTTAAATGCTAACAAATCTCTTATGCTATATTAATTAATTAGGCCTATTACAGTAACTGAAACTGAGAAAATATAATTTTATACTGTGGCAAAAACTGTGAATGAAACATTCAACTCTGATATTTTTTTTATTCGCTACAGTCCGTCTACAAAATTTAGTGATGGGTTGCTAGTTTTATCCGTTCAATTTTGGTTCGGATTTGTTTGATCAGTTGTCGGTTTTGTCCCATAAAATCACTTATTTAAATAGCATTTTTCTGTCTACATATGAATAGGTAGTACATGTTTGAAATTGTAGGCCTGACTAAACTTGTCCTTAATGCAGGGGCCAATATTTTAAATGTATTTTAAAGCAAGATTAGGTTAGGGTTAGTCAACACCTAATGATATCGTATCCATACAATTCACACTGGTATTGTTTTAAATTCAAGGTTACAAATCAAGGCTATACTCACAAATTAGGTCTATAAATAATTTTTAATAGTGAACTAGTGAGTTTGGGACTGCTAATGGGTTTGACATTGCAGCATTACTAAGTAATAGTATAGTAAACAAACATCTGATAAACCTTTAATGTGCTCCAAACCAACTAGCGTTTGGCAAAATTATTGCACAATGACGGTAAAACCAACAACCCACTTTAACAACCAACCTAATAAAAATTCACGACATGACATTTTTAAGTGCTGCCATGAATAATTTAAGCTCACTGGTATGATGAGACTATTTTTGGTAAGTCTTCTAGAAATCTTAAAATTATGTTTAATTTTTTATGGGGTTATGGTCAGATAGCGTAGATGTAAGAAAATATTATTTTATAGCCGAAAAAGATCTTTTAAGGCCTACTGAATTACAATCTGAATTTAATAGAATCCTTCTAGTTCAAATTCATTTGATTGTGAATTGGATGGTTCACAATCGTTACCTTCATATGACCTACAGACTAGCAAATAAGTGATGCTATTTCTATAACCAGTAAAGAACTAAACCTGTTTGTACAACTCTGTTCACTACGTAGATGTGTTATTGCTGTATTCCTCTATGGTTTACTATGTAAATTACAAATTTTGCGCAAAAACATGTGGTTTTAAAACGTTTCATTTTTGTTAACCTGTGATGGAATGGACAAGGGTGTCATCCCAAAGCTCTCTGAATGCCAGAATTAAGTTGAGTTCCATAAACAAAGGTGTCCAAAATATCACACATAACACAAGTTGCCTGTGTTTGATAGTTACTGTAATTATGATTCACAAATGGGTTGTTAATTTACCTTGAACATTTCCAGCAGGTCTTCTTTTTTCAGTTCTAGCCTTTCAAAAGGTTGTTTCTCCTTAACGATATTCTTAACTATACCCTCCATCACCGGAAAATCTGCGTTTGATACCTGAAAATCAATTGCATGTATGTCACTGACCATTGGGCAGTAAGTTTTTTAAGCAAGATCTTACTGGTCTTTGCCATTTAAAAAACTACTAAATTTAACTGACTACATACACTAACAATTAGGCCTACATCATTTTTACGGTGAATTGATTTTCATCCCGCCCTCTCATTCTAAGATAGAGGAAATAAGGGCTGTATTTTGTTACTAACTTTTGTATTTTTTCTGAAGTTAAGTTAAGTGTGAAATAAATCAAATTTATGAGCGAGGAAAATTGTGTAAACACAAATAGTAAGTTCATTAACAATCATGCGTACAAGAGTGTATTTTTTACGTTAGCAGATAAAGTTTTGTATTTTAGGTTAGGAGTTTTGACGCTGTTATGAACAGACATTTCTGTACAAAAATAAAATTAATTTGTTACGATTTTAAAATTTTACTAGGCCTCCATTAATAGTATCTATTTATGTTTTTAAAATACCGGAGGTATTTAACTAGAAATAGGCTAATTACAATCAGCTGTGTCCGGTAAAATCAATTAGCGAACAGTAGTACATAATGAAATCTCATTTGGACGGCAAACAGCTGTTTTCAGACCAAACCCTTGAGTAGGTCCATTAAAACAGAGGAGTGTGGCAAAAATTATTGTTGTCATCGGGTTACCTGTCTGTCTGCAATATGCATGTCATAGTAGAAGCCAGAATCAATAGGAGGTCCGTAGCACAGACAGCCTCCGTACACTCTCTCCATGGCCTCGCCTAGAATGTGAGCGCTGGAGTGCCAGAAAACCTGCTCAGCTGTAACAGTGGTACCAACACGTGTAGTCAGTATAGCAAATTATCCCTTTTGGGAGCAAATTCAACAATTATGAAAATTTGGGTAAATAGATTTTTTTAGTGGTAGGGAGTTAACTAACCTGACCTAAACCATCATGGAAAGGTTAAATAAGGTAAATAAAAGAATAGGTTGGATTATACGGAAAATAATTAACAAAAAATTTGAGTATCTTTCAGGTACAGACATAACCGAGAAAAGGGTTCGTCAAAGTACCCCATCACACAGAAATAACGCGCGATTCTATAGTACTCGATTGTCTGCAGAGACGGTCGAATGACATGGAAAGTCGGATTACCAATGACCAGGTATTCGGGACTGTACACTTTTTTTTATATAACCAGATTATTTTTGAAAACTCATTTAAAAAATACTTTTTTGTTGATTGAATTACTGAAATGTAAGACATTATCATCAACACAAGTATGATGATTAGTAAGTAACAGATGATCTGCGTAGAGTTGTAAGGCTGATTAAAGACATCTGTTAAGACAGGTGAACAAACATTTATCAAAATATTCAGTATGTTATCGTGATAGCAATCTAGTTACGTACAGACCTTATAGCCTACAATAGACTCTCGCTTATCCACAAGTGGATTAACCACGGTGTGGATTAATCTTGATCGCAACAAAATTAAAATAATTAAAAATTGTATTTCAGTTAAATGTACATTATACAGCGAAGAACCAAGATGTTTAGTGTGAGGTTCTTCGTTTGCAGGCAGACTTTGGAGCCAACAATGTTAAATTTACCGACCACCGATTACAACCAATGAGCTGATTTGACATTTTTGTTGTTCCTAGACCTAAACATAGACTCTCCAATATTATTTGTTTTGTGCCATCTCAAAATCAAAACTTCCCCAAATGTTCAGTGGCTTTGAGATTGTGGTTCCTTTTCAACACATCACTAGTACAGTAGACCCCCTCTTAACCGACCCTAATGGGACCGGACCTAGGTCGGATAACTCAAAAGGTCAGATAAAACGGGCAATCCCTAAAATCATAACATAATGAAGTGCTATTCATTTGGAATTATATAATCACTTGCATTATTTAAAAAATAAACTACTCTTAACTCCTTTTTCATATTGATAGAAAAGTCACAAATAAACACAAAACACAGTTAAGTCAATTAGGCCTACTTTCAGTGGAATATATTATTACTAGTGAACCTGTGCGGCTCAATGCGCCGCAAAATAACATATGAATTTAGAAAACAAATTCATCGTATCATATATTGACTCGACGTCGAAAATTAAATACCTACAATAATAATGAAGCCTTGGAAGGGAAGCTGTCCAGCCATTTCCTAGCTGTATGTGTATTATATTTAGTAAATTAATAAGTGTTCAAGTTCAAGTATGTTATAGGCAGCGAGCAAGGTTATAGGGTAGTTATGTTTTAAAGATTTTATAACACATTTAACAAAACATTTTATCATATCAAACCAATAGGCCTATGTAGCATATTTTGAGGGTCATAAAAATGCTGCTTGAAGAAAACACACTTTTAAAAATAAACACTAAAAAAAATATTTTTATCACAAAAGCACTTCCATGAATACTACGATTTTAGCCTTAAAGTTACCTTCAGGAAGATTACCTTGGACAGAGTTTTCCGTAACGAATATGCTTATCCTATTAATTAATAGATGTAGCCTACTTAAAACAACATATAATATAGTTGCTCATGACTGAAATTGGTCTGGGTAAGAACAGCGCTGCAAATGCCAAAGGTAACAGAAATTAGCATCTTTCCATTTTAAAAGGTAAGTTTGTTTCAGACGGGTAAATTTTTATCCTCGAAATCAAAATATGTCCCCACTCACTTGTTCCAGTTAAGACTTTACATTCTATTAAGTTGTTAACCATTCTGATCACAAAGCCTTGTGCCATTAATAAGGCCCTTTTTGATGTATTAATATTCCTCATCAATAAAACCACTGCCCCCTTTTATTAGTCTAATCTGTGTCTTGGCAATCCACTGGGTGTCTGCGCCTTCGTCTGTTTCAAGGACCCACTCTTCTTCCCCTTGGTAAACTGACAATTAATTTCCTGACTTGTCAAGTTTATGTAGTAATTCATTAATACTGTTAGTTTATAAAGAAAATTTGAAAAAAGTTACTTGGCTTGGTGCTTTCATAACTGCAAACTCAAAATACACCCACAAGTAAAAAAGAATCAAGATATTGGTTAAAAAATCTATGTTTGTGTAATAACATTATTCACATGAAGAAGATGATTTGTTTGATTTGTCGATCAGCTGTTTAGTTTCAAATGAATTAATGTCAAAGATTTGTGATTTAAATACATAAATTATTATAGTAAAGTTTTTAAATCATGGTACCTAACTTATTCTCCACTAAATTTTACTATTCCCAGCATTAAAATAAAGTAGTAAGATCCATTATGGGCAAACTTTAAGGTACACAATCCTTCATTGAAATGTAGTAGGTATACATTAAGAGTCATAATACACAGCAATTATTATGTAGTAGACTTTGACTATTTTCAAGTAACAAACATATGTTTCTGTAAATAAAAATTATCTCCCATGTTATCCTTATGGAGAAATACGAAACTTTAAAGGGCTCTGAGGGCCTCAATCTCTCATTATTTCCCTAAAAAGAAAGTTTCCTGCACAACTTCACGTTACCCTCTTTCCAATGACACAAAAAACATGTCAATCGGTTCAGTAGTTTCGGAGGAGTAATTGTCACAAAAATCGTGCTTTAAATAAGTATATAGATAATACTAGGCAAGAGTCAATAAAATTCCTATTTTAATAACTTTAATACTGTAATGTATTAATTGATGCTTTCCAAATACATCGTAATACAGTACAGAACCTTTTGTCGACATTAAAGATACAAGCGACCATTTTGTTACAAAACAGGACGTTTATTTATAGCCTCTCACTGGACGCTCGAGGCACAAAAACTATCTTGACCTTGGAGTTGTTAACCCCCTTTCCCTGCCTTCCTTACATGTAGCGTTGTTTGTTTACTCCGGCGATAAGATAATCAGTTCTCAAAATCGTAACGCACTTTATGATGTTATAAATTTGCCGCACAGATAACAAATCAGATCAGTTGTGCTCGAGCTACGAACGATGATGACAAACTGACAATAGGCTAGCCTATGCTATATTTTTTGTGCTCAACACAAAATAGCTTATTGTTAGTCATATCCTGTGGAGATAAGCGTATGGTTCAGTTCTCATCGCCCAGCGTGGGAGCGGAAATGCCGAGATTCCTAGAAAGCGGCGGTTAAACCGAGCTGCTCTCAAATCAAGGTCGGTTAAAACAAACTGTATTATTTTACAGTCGAAGGCGGATAATCCGATTATCGGTTAATACGAGGTCGGTTAAGAGGGGGTCTACTGTATTATGAAACTGTCATGCAAGTGAGAAAAATGCTAAATTTTGGATTTGTCATCAATTTTATTTTTCTTTGTGACCAAACCACAACAGAGGTTCATGGTTTCAAAGTTGGGATCAAGATTGTTTTCAAAAACGTTCAAACAAAATTGAACCCAATACCATGAACCTTTATAATCATACCATGAAGAGTATTTATAAACCACACATTAGTTCATATTTACCTTCAGGATTGTCGAACTTAAGCAATTCCAGTTTGCAGCTTGCTTCCAGAGGACGGTCAATGTCCCACAATTCTCCGTTCACTTTGGATATAACTGTGTTGTCTGCTAGGCCTTGGCTGTACAACACAAAGTCAATTACAGACAACTCTTCAACTGATGCTATTGTAACCTTTACTAGGAAACTAAAAATGTTTTAGGGTTAGGGTTTCAAGATTCAAGATACGATTTTAAGTTTTGGTTTTGGTTTGCAGATACCAATGAGGTAATGCAAAAATAAATGGTTATGTTTTGAAACCATAAGTAATGCTAAATTACTAATTTCAGTACTATACTAAACAATGAAAGAAATCACAATAACATTATCATTATTATTTTGTACGGTGCATACTGAACAGTGTTACACAAAAATTTTGACTCATTTGTTTCAAAATCAAGAATTGGTGAGCTGTTCAAGGATATGGTTGGTGGACTTTTAAAACGAAAGCATGCAGAACTACACCAGAGAGGCTTTATCTGAAGAAGTGTAGTGGATCATATGATAAGTAAAACTCTGTTTACTTGGTGAAACATATGGTTTATGTTTTTGTTGTGATGTTTTGTTTAGTGTTGAGATGTTATTAGATTTAAATGTTCTCTCTTTAACTCGTTTTCTTTTATTTTGTGATCAACCTTACAGAGCTACTCAGCATAGTAATTTTTATTTCGTCCAGGTAATATTACAATATGCTTACCTGATGCCCTTGGCCACATCGTAGGGAGTCGTCCTCCAGGACTGAGCCGAGACTTGTTTACCATCAGGCAGTGTTACGGTGATATTTTCCGGAACTTTGGCTGCTATTTCAGCATCGTACTGCGCTTTCAGCTTGTCCCACATAGCAATTCTTTCCTGTAATAAATATTTAGTTGAGACCCTTTCTTACTTCTATTTGCATTTTATTTTTATGTTTCACCTTCACATCCTAGGCTACTCCGAGCTAAAGCATGGTTTTACGCATTGAATCAGGCTATGCCTAGAGGGTATTATCACTTGGATAATCCTTCTTTTTTATTGGCAGGATTTGAACCTCAGGGACCAAAGTCCCACACACTACCACTAGACCAGCTCAATCCCCATTAAGCCGCATCTGTCCATAAACAAAAATTAAGGCAGTCTATCTACCCTGAATTTCAAAACTGGTTGGTTAAACTGACCTTATCTAGGCATTATAATTATATTTTTAAATTAAATGGTATAACCCGTTAAACTCTTATGCCCAGAAAATAGCAGAAAAATCGGATTTAAAAAAAAAACAGGTCAACTCGTTTTAATTTTTAAATTTAGTAGCCTATTTTATATATTCTTATAAGTCTAAACAAAATTTAATTTTACATCCAACTGTAGGATTATTGCAACTTCTAAAATTGTTCCCATAAAAATCATATTAACTACCACTGCTTACCCATGATAAGACTTGACAAGCTAATGGGAGAATGTATGTGTCAGATTGCTGATAGGCCTACCGTTTATTTTCATCCTTATTTCTCTACTTTTCTTTTCGTCTTATTCAAATTTTTGCATTTTTAGACATTGGTATAAAGTATTCACTATGACTGTCAATAGGTCCTACCTGAATATATGAAGGCCATGGGTTGAGCTCGGAAGCAGTAGTTTTTTCAGGCCCACCGCCGCTTTTTTCTTTTGCTTTCTTTTCTTTCATTTTTCTTAGCTGAAAAGCAAAAAAATCTTCATTATTGATGGAATTTATAAACTATAACAACACCGTTAAGTTATTGCTGTTCCTAATGAGAAATATAGCAACCCAATATTTGACAAATGGACCCACTAACTTAAAAAGCAAGTTTAAATTTGATTGGAAATTTGAATCTAAAGAATTTGGATAAGATGAGGACAAATAGTCTGAATTTTCCATTGTGAAAAGTAAAAGGTACTTAATATCTAAAACTAATTAGGCCTATTAAAAATGGACAGCATTCTTAAACTTTAAACTTAAACATTTAATTGATAGCTAAAAAGGGTAACAAAATACAATTTCTTCAAACTTACTATTCATATAGTTATAATTCAGTAACAGTTATAGTAACCAATATTATTTTTTAGTAACTTACTTAAAGATGTGTGAAATATTACTAGGCAGCCACTCACTAACTACTACAACTGGCATTAAAATTCAAAGTCAGTACGGTAATAAATATTTTCAAATGACAGTTAAAATTTAAACTAGTAATACATGCTAAACTAACAAAATAAAAATCATAGCCTACCACCAGCAACAACCTGTCTATGTTCTTCTTTGGTACGAACTATTGGAATGCAAACATGCAATCCGACCAACAAACAAAACACCATAGCAAAACAGACAGGACCAAACAATGCAGACATTTCAAAACAAAAACTAGTGAGCTAAGCAGAAAAACTGATCAACGAAACCAGCAAACTATAGTGCACTAAACCACTACTCTATCTCAAAGTTATGCAACTGATAACAAATTATGATTTTATGATTGTCACTTGTTTCAAGTAGCATTATTTTAAAAAAAATTTACTCGATTATTTATAGATTGTATTTTCTTTGGTGACCATCATGCAACACAGAGAAGAGAAAAAACTTGAACTGTATTATCTAAATACTAGACAGCTATAAATTATGATAAGCTTTAACTGATGTTCTATACAGTAAAAGTAGAAACATAATACAACTTATAACAGCCTGTTGTCACACAATGAGTTATTACCGTATAACTTTCGTGGTTAACATTAAAGTATGTTCTATGCACTGGCGAAGGTAGATAAGATTGATGTATCGCATGTTCGTCAGCCCAGTGAACTTTTTTATTCTGTTTCGCCACAACTGGTGCATGAGGAAGTGCTTCGCTCGCTTTAATAGCTTTCCGACAATCAAACACTTGAAACTTCAATTCGCCCATTTCTTTCCTCAATTTATTGCAGGTCGCCTTCATTTCCTTGACTTCCTTCGTACAAATGTTGATTTGTAAAGACTTGTTGTGCATCATGGAAAAAATATCGTCAATTTTTCTTTTATTGTATGTAACAACATCGGTCACTTTCTTCTGTTCCGCAGACAATTCACTGAGATGATTTAGAACTGATTTAATCCTATCAATTTCCTCAAACATAATGGACGATTCTATTTTAAAACTGTTTCAAAATTAAACTCCGCACTAGGAACTTCTGAAGGAAAATGTCCCACTCTAGTGAGAATACTGATAGAGTTGACTGAGTGTTATCTTGAAAGTAAATGTCTCTTTGCATTTAGATAAAAGGTCAACGTTTGGTCCCTAAATAAGTGCATTATCACCAAAACAAACAGAATGTTGTATTTATTTTTATGGCTTAGGTTACTGATCATTCCATGTAGGCTACAGTGTTTAAGGTTCTAAACGTCACTGTAAGTTATTAGTCAAGTTTTACTGTATAAATTTAGACCTCAGTTTCTAATGAACGTACTGTACTTAGTTTGCTAAAAATATATTTTTAGGTACCGGTAATTATATCATTTTATGGCTAATGGTATTAACGATAGACGATAAAGAATTTTTTGAAACAAAGCTACAATTGTCTTGGGAAAGTTATCAAAGCTTTTCTAATAAAGTTACACGATATTAAATTGTCTCGTAAATCTATAATATATTATAAGAGAATGAAAACATGTTAGTGTGATTTTAAGGTTTGAGATGTTATCTTTTACATCTAAAACTACACAATTTAATAAAGCATGCCCATTTTTTCACTCAATTCATTTGGACCAACATTCTACACATTTAACAAAATTCAAGTGGTTAGATCTATGACTTAGTTTTGAATAGTTGTGATAGTTCTGTTTTCTCACATTTCATACACCACAAAAAATTCAATTAATCTTAACTCAATTTAATCTCGAGGGAAGTTTTGGTTTCCTACAGCCCAACGGTTTGCATTTGACGCGCTATGGGCCTGAGAGATATTTGCATTCTACCCTTTTCTTGCGGGGGAATTTTTCTCTTCCTTGCGCTCCCAACAAACCCAAAACCTCCTGTAGCACTGGGCCCATTTACTTAAGCGGTCTGGGTTAATCCACATTCAAACCGTTAATAAAATGTATGCCCGTTTTCGTATACTCAATGTTTCAATATTTTTAGACAGTTCCTCAGACAGTACCTAACTTGGCCAAAAAGGCAACAAACAGTAAGCCAAGCAAAAGGCTCTGAAAAATCAGTTATCAAATTTGCAAGTTGTTATACTGCAGTGGTTGAGGAGTGTTCATTTCATTATGATTATTTCATTAGGCCTATTTTAAGATCTCTCACTCAATCATTGCATCAATTTGTTTGGTACTTGCAGTTTTTCATGTGGAAATGTTGTTGCAATTTAGAATTGGTGGAGTATGCCATCTGCAGGAACAGGATGAGGGACAAAGTGTGTTGCATCTACCTGCTTCAAAACAAAAGCAATTTTGCAGAGAACATAAAGGTTTATTGGTTTATTCAATCAATCTTAAAGATTGGTTCACGGTACCAGTTATTTTGACCCTGGAAAGACTGCTACTGCCCTGAAAGAGATCTATCTAGTGATAAAAATTCAATTTTATTCGAGTGTGGTTGTTTGCAATATTTATTTTGGAAACCTCTAGCTGAAAGAGATAGGTAGTTAAGAAAGTTGCTAGCCTAGTGGTTAGCATCTCGGACTTCGGTGCGGGATGGACGGGTTCAATTCCTATCACATTCGCAACACATGGGTTTGGACTGCTTCCCCAAGTATTTAAGTGCTTATCCTGTGTAACTCTTCAAACAAGTAAAAATGCTGCTGACGTCAACACCAAGAAAAAGAAGTGAAAAAGTATGGAAAAAGTCTTTTAATAATGTTTCTTTTGGTCTGGTAGAGCTAATATCACAAAATCCCGACTGATTCTTAAGGCCCTAGTTAGTTGGACATTGAGCTCCCGAACAGGAGCGCCAGCTACTAAAACAGGAGTAGAGGTACCTACACTGTACACAGAACTTGATCAAGGGGTACCACAGACCAAGCAGCTTGATTATGAATGTTTTTCATGGTCCAAAAATTCCATGCGCTTCCATTTGAAGAAACCGACTGGCAAATTCTAAACTTAAAATGGTTATTGATAATATAGCGTTAGTTCACAATTTTCTAACCCACAATATCTTTGAGTGGCCTGACAATATGATCTCTATAAAGCCACCTAACTGCAGCTAAAAAGTTAGGTTAAACGAGTAAATTTGTTAAATTGATTCACGTTTGGATTTAGCCTAATTAATAGATCAATAAATTTTCCTGATTGCTGTTTAAAATTGATAAATTGATAGATTAAGAAGCTGAATTTTTACCTAAATTACAGTAGTCTTCAAACTACCCTACAACAACAACAAAAAAAAACACATCAGACATGGAGATGTGCGATCACAAGAAGCCACTGCATGCTTTTACTGTCAATGAACTTCACCTCAGACGTAGATCCTTTGATACAGCTCAAGTCAAACGTTGGTTTGACGTCTGTAATCTCTGGGAACGACTTACGGTTCGAGCCGAAACTGGTTATATGATTATACCAGCGAGAAATATGAGTATGATTTTTGAAATCTTGATTCAGTAAGTAATCAACAACAATATTGTCGTTTTGGCTAGCCTGGTATCCAGATATATAACTGTTTTCAGATAAGTATTTGTTTAACTTGTCCAAACTGATTTCTGTCATATCTTTGTTCAAAATGGATGGTTACACAGAGCGCTGCAACACAAAACCAATACATTCAAGAACTGAATCCTCTTAAGTAGCCTACAGGAATACTGTGTCGGCGTAATTCACTGACCTGTCTCATATTTACTAATTTATAACTTCTTACTGATTGAGAACTTAGAACTTAGATTGAGTCATACAAACAAAACGATGAGCCCACAGTTTAGTGGCAACTGTCAGGACTAAGGTGCAAGTGTAGCAGCGACTCAAAAGTCAAATTTAGGTAATTAATGGTATGCATAAAACTTAGCTTATTGGGAGTAATTGGTTGATGAGATGATGCTGAAATACCATAAGGACATGGACACAGTTTACGCCACTTCACTTGCAATTTGAGTTTAAATTCTAACTTATTATAATTTTTCCATTTATATAACATGAGATATTTAAGTTAGATACTTAATAGGGATTCACTTGGTTTCCTAATCTTCCCCTTAAAATGAGTTTACAGTGTGTCAGGTGCCGTGAAATCTAATTTGTTTTCAGATAAGCTAAGTGGAGTTCTAGGCTGCACTTTACTTTAGGTCCTATACTCATTCGAATGAAAATATTGATTATTCGATTGTTTCATTCGATGTATCGTTTGGTTAGTTAGGTTAGGTTAACCTTACCTAACTAACTAAACGATATATCAAATGAAACAATCGATTAATCGATATATCGATCGATATTTTCATTCGAATGAGAGTAGTACCTAAAGTAAAGTGCAGCAGAGTTCTGCTAACTATAGTACCTACCTTAAATGTATCCAAATATTGCTAGGAGCGAGTAATCGAGGAAAATCAATTACTTAGCCTAAAATAAGCATTTTGATGATAAAACATAGGTAAAACTTCTGCCAGTCGCAGCTCTAAAAGTACAAATTAATGGAAACTGATATTGAACCTAATAAGGCAGTAAGGCACAAGTTTCAATTTTGTCTATGAATGTGGCATAGGTAATTATCAGAAAAAAATTCAGTTGCATCATTGATTGAAATTGTTTTGTAAACAGGGCATTGGCTCATTTTTGTTGTTGAAGATGATACTGAACCTAACGTTTCCAAGATTATTTAACGTCTAAATAACATTCATTCAGATGTTTAAAAGGGCGAACTTTAGTCTGTAAAATAAAATTACATTTAGCAAAAGCATGCACAACGTGTCGGCATGTGCCACACATACTAGGCTACGCAATAGAAACCTAACCTACGAACCGTGGCGTATCTCCTGGACAGTCTAAGTATAGAAGTTCTACCAAGACGATTAATTGCATATATCATCTTATAATTAAACACTTATAGCTAGTAATAAATAGTTCATGCCTTTTCATCTTCAATGTTAATTTTAGCAACTTCTTCAACTAAATTATCACCCATTTTTGACAACAAGGAACAATATCCAAAATTGCAAAAAGCAAAAAGCAAGCAGAAAACAGTAAAAAAAAGTAAAGAACAAACAACAAACTGCAAGTGTGTTTGGTGGAGGTTAGATCAGCTGATGTGGGCATTTCCGTCTGCCCACAGTGTCTAGACCTTTGATCAAAGGTACGGTGAGTCTAGCGCAGTTTAATAACGTCACTAAAGTGATACAATAAAATGTGTGATTCTCATTGGCTGTTGCTATGATCATTGGTGCAATAACCAGCTATGCTAGATGGGTAAAAACGGTCACCTATTGATCCTTCCACCATGCCTATTGATTTTAATTCCACTAACTATCATTACTGTTTAACCAATTGTGTAATTAATTGTTATTTGAGCCATAGATTAAACATACTCGGTTAGTTTATAGTTGAGCTTTGCTTCGGAGAAAACTTTTGTCTATTCCAAAGAAAATATATTTTGTATATTTATCTTATTTATTTCCTAGGGTAGTATCATAGATAAAACATAACGTTGTCTAGAAAAAACATAGATAAAAGAACTAGAACATGTCGGCCTTAGTCACTAACAAGACCACAAGACACGTCACTCATCTTCATTCATACTCATACTTGGCTTAAAAATACCTACATTCGTGTGGTTGGCTAGCTATTTTAGATTAATGTATAAATTTGGCAGTTGGTTATAGTCTATTGTATCGATGATAATTTGATTCCGTTATTGATTTTGTACTAAGGCTTTGACCATTTAATTCAGTATCCAATAGCCAATGATATTACTCCGTTCTAAAAATTTAGGTGTTTCACTATTATTTTTGTTTCTTATATTTTGCAGCTTATTGCCATTTTGACAAAAAAACTCAGCTGTTGAGTTATTATTTTATTGATAGGCTCAAAAGTGGAGGAGATAGATTTCTTCCCCTAAGACAAGACCATCTAAATTTTGTGAACTTATACAGTATTGTATTAAATTGTAGTCTTAACCGGAACAGTGGGAGTATTTTAATATACATTAGTCTATTAAACGTTTTTCAGTCATGAGGAGTTAGGTACTAGCCAGTCCCCATTCTTGATGTATTGATGACTTACCGTACGGTAATTTTAATTGAGTTGATCTCCCTTCTCCTTTTGAATCTTGAGATTGTGAAAACTAGCCCCAAAATGATTTCCAAATAACTGACAATTTGAAAAATAGTTGACTACCTAAGATAAAAGTGGATGTAAACCTACAATTAAACACGAATTATGTGTTGTAAAGCCTACACAGTTGCAGTACTATCATAAGAATTTATATTTTTATAATAAGTTTCTAAAACATAATTTTATATTTCTGTAATCAAATTAGCTTTACCAAAATCAATAGTCCAATTTATTATTATGTTTAGTTTTCTCGATATAGGAGTTTTATAAATTTGAAACCAACAATAGCAGCACAATTAATTAATAAAAATGAAGTTGAAACATGTGTTTTAATTTACGATATTGAATCAGCTGATTGTTGGTCAGCTGAGAGCTGATTGGTCAGTGTCAGTGGGAGAACAAGTTTTATCATTGGCACAGTCACAGTGAGTGACCCAAAAAGTATATCACAGCTAACCTAACCTATGATTTTACTAACAGTAACAGTAATTATTTTGTATGCGTTTTAATAGTGTTATATAGTCAATGGTTTTAATAAATCATTAAAGCATTGTAATTGTAATTGTAACCAGCCTTTGTAGGAATTTGTTTAATTTTGACCATAAAACTAGACTAAAATTACTTAAACTAAGTAATAATATTTTTTCACAGATAAATTATAATTCTGATTGTTTATTTATTAGTTAGAAGGCTCTTTTATATAAAATGAATTAACTATATTTTTAGAGAGTAAATATTTTTGTTTTGTCTGTGCTTTAGATAAATATTCAATGCCAAAGTTGTTCAAAAGTTGTTTTAGAATAAGGACAGAATATAGTATTCAGAATAATAAAATAGTCAATAAATGGGAAAATTTGTATAGTTATTCAGCTAATAACTTAAATTAAATTAAATCATTCAATTTCAATTAAAAACAACAAAAAAACTTCAGTTGTTTTTCAAACTCTTTGTAAGCCAATTTAAAAATCACAATTTTCAGGATATGGCCATGATATGTCTTATTTTCCTCCTTGGAGCTTTAACAGCTAAAATCACATCAGGTAAGTTTGAATTTAAATACAGTATCCATGTACCGGTTTAGTTTTAGCTATTATTAATTTTAGAACTCTACGTAGTTTTTCCAAGAAGTTATGTTTTTATACCAGATGTTTCTTCCACACTCATTGTTTTTATCATACTGCCGGAAATAATTCTACAATTTTTATAAGCCGATAAAGGTTTTCACTCTAACATTTTAATATACAACTAGTAAACACGTTGCTCGAAATTGAGCAATTGCAAAGAAGTAAAGTAGTTATTAAAAAACAAATAAAAGCCATCATAATTTCCAATGAGTTTAAAAGACTTTGAATTGAAAAATAAATAACAGCAATTAAATTATACAGCTGATCAAAATGTAAACAATTATGTTCTTCATAAGGATAACATGGGAAATTTAACAGCCACTGGGGCAGAGCCCAAGGAACATTTTCAAAAATGTAAGGTCAGTTTGCAAATCTACGCGACACGCTCTTTCCAATGAGACGTTAATGGATAAAATCGGTTAAGAAATGGCGGAGGAGTTCAACCAACAAAGTTTCATGTAGCGAATTAATTATATAGATAATTTTTCATGTGTTTCTGACGGATAAACATGTTTTCTTCTGAGATGGAGTACTTACATAGTCATTGGCAGGGGGGGGGGTGTGGTTCTAGTTTTACAGGAGGAGAGAGGGTTTAAAATAGGTACTTGTTTTTGCATTGCTGCACATAACCTCTGCTTGCTCCTTCTGATATTGTGGTGGAGCAAGGTTTTTCTATCATTTACTAATGATACATATTTTTAGGATACACCCACCCTTGTGCCCTGAGAGACTATGGGGATGAAAGGAAGGTGTGTGTTTGTAACGCTACTTACTGCGACACCATCACCAGGAAGGAGAACACCATAGACCGAGATGAGTTTATGACACTCGTATCATCCAAAGATGGGCTTCGGTTCCAGAAGAATATTGGCAAATTTAGTCAAAATGAAACAAAACCTGGAGCTACGTCTAATTCAGTTCTCTCATGGCTGTTGGGTAAGATATATACTAGAATTTGCTCTTCGGGAAGCTTTGGTTGTTAGGTTGTTCTCTCATAATGTCATTGGATGCTAATAGATTCCTCATTTTGAAAAATCTGAAGCCCTTTTCAAGGGTGTTCTTACATAGCATTTAAAAAGTTTACTCAATCAAAACTGAGTGAAAACAATTGAGGGATTAGTTTATTTATTATTTGATAAATATTCAGGCAAGTACCGGTACTGAGTTACAAATTGGTATACCCTTGGGTTCCACCAGCCAGCTGATTACCGTGTAAACATGGTCCTACAAAAAAGAACCTCGTGGCATTATTAAAGTGTTTATTGAGTTTAAATAAAATGTAAAACATTCAAATGATCCAAACTATGCACTGGATAAACTGAAACTTTGTAATTGTTTCTTTAAGTAATGATAACATAATTTTGAAAATCTTTAACTTAAATTAGTCTTTTTTACATGTGATTTTAACTTCTAAATAATAGTTAAAAATTAATTGTTCCCCATCCATTTCAAGCTCTGATATGTTAAGAAGAGCACAAAAAGTACACAATCATTGAAAACAAATTATTTTTAGAATGTTGAGAGCTTTACAATAGAGGCATGTTCAATCCATAACTTCAATCCACATAATCCGCCATTATGAATTGAAATTCAGGCTGCCGGGCAGAAACTCCCTAAACCCGGGATTTCCTAGACGAGGAAGGGGAGCGCGGAGGGTGGAGAGCGGAAAAGCAATTAACATGGCATTCTGCTCCGCTTCTAGGAAAACAGTAACAAAATTACCTAAGACAAGAGGAGTCCGCTCTCCTCGTTCCTCTCTCCAAGCTCCTCTTCCGCGTCTAGAAAATCCCGGTTTAATACTTTAAATTTACTGTGCTCTTAAAAACTGTCACTGATTCTCAGGTTCAAGTACCTCTGAAACATTGATATTAACCATCAACACCACAGTCAGATATCAGAAGATCGTCGGTTTTGGAGGAGCTTTCACAGACGCGGCTGGCATCAACATTCTGAGCCTTGGTAAAGAAATGCAGGAAATGTTGTTGAGGTAAATGTGCGCTATTAAAGTTACCCTAATATAATCTTGGGATTGGTCTAGTGATTTAATGATAACTCACTTTTTCAATAGGTACTTTCACTGCTCTAAATAAGAAGATATTTTTGCCCTCTGCAATCATTAATTGCTATCATTTACAGAATTCATTTAATTAAACTATTTGCAGCCCTGAAGTAATAAATAAATTAATCGTTAATTATAATTAGTTTTTGTTATTTTCTTACGCAGGCTTTTGTTGCCAGGGTCATTATAAGTTCAGGATGTTTATTCGCATCAACTACGTTGTCACTAATAAACTGTTGACAGACGTTTCGCCCTTACTATGAAGTGGCAACCTCAGTGGCTAGGCTGTGACAAGTTTTTTGTTTGTTTGAATTACGTAAATCTTGGCTGAAAGGACGGACATGGTCTTTCCCCAGTGTATGTATTCTTTGTACCTTATATTATTACTTCTCTGTGCCCATACCAAAACTTAAACCTATCACACTGGAGCACACCACTCGAAAATAACTTTAAAAGACTGCTGATTCTATTTCTGGTAACTATTTATCTTACAAACTAACTAGATCCAAAAATCAGATGCCTTCCTTTTTTGTTGACAAATATTTGATGCAAGTAAGAATAATTTTCATCTGTATGATTTTAACTAACTTTGTGCTTGACTAGATCCTACTTCTCAGACGAAGGCATTGAGTACAATTTGTGCCGGGTGCCAGTGAGTGGAACGGATTTCTCAACTCACCCGTACTCATACGACGACAACAACAGACTTCCTGACCCCTTGCTGAAGAACTTCTCGTTGGCCAAGGAGGATCTCAAGTACAAGGTAAAGAAAGAGATATCCTGTTTTGTGTTAAAATTGAATTTGGTGAGTCGGTGGCTCAGTTGGTAGCGTCACGGACTTCGGGCCCAAGGCAGCGATGTCGTGGGTTCGGATCCTGGTCACTGCCACTAAAATTTATCAGTACAGTTCACCTTCATACTATACTGGCTCACCCCTTGCATTGCTGGATACGTTCTATGCACAGATCTGTAGTCCATGTGGACGGACAAATGCAAGGTTAAAAGAGGCTGCCAACCTCTTTTTAAAACCAAAATTGAATAATTATGTATTAGAGGGTTTAAATTGCTAAATTTTAGGGTTTTTTAATAATTATCAATTCACATAGGGACACGACTGGTGTGTAACCCAAATATTTATGAAAGATGAATGTAGAACGGAGGGAAATGTCTCATATATAGCTTTGCTATTGAAAACCACAAAATTTAAGTTCATTTTGTAATATGCGTAATTAAGAACTATAATTTGGTACCGTATCTATTTTGTAGATACCAATGATACTGCGAGCCCAATCTATGAGTAAGAGGAACATCAAGTTAGTTGCCGCCAGTTGGAGCCCTCCTCCTTGGATGAAAACAAACAACGACTTTTCTGGTCTTTCATTTCTCAAACCAGAGTATTACGACTCTTATGCAAAGTACATTTTAAGGTAAGTCTTGTCAGATTTCTTTGAAGTTAAACATCGAAAGAGACTATCCGATACAATTTACTCAAGACAAACTCGATTTTGTTACTTAAATTATTAGGTTTTCTGCTTTATTTTGTTTGTATCAAAACTATGTATGATAATGATCTTGATCTGAAAATATTATGAGCAACAACTCGAAGGGCCATTCTCTAGGTACCTATTTGCAAAGACAAATTGCTTGCTAACCTAAAAACTAGATGGATCTATCTTAGGTTTGTTCCAATTCTTAATTGCATGATGGCAATTTTTACTTCCATGCTTTTTTCCGGAATAGGCAGAGTGCATTTTGATGTTTATAAGATTTTTGTTATTTCTTATTGTCAACAATTTTAAACCATGAATTAGATAACCCAACCTAATGTTGCTTATAAACGAGAGAGTAAAATAGATCCTTTGAAATTTACCAGGAGAGAAAAAAATTTATTAAATGATTAGTTGCATAAGTTTACATTTACATATTTACAATAAGATGAGAAAGAAGTACTTTATGCTGCCTTAGGTATCCAAAATCAATGTCCATACTCTGTCCACCAACATTCACTAGTTTTCCTTTTCAGCCATAAGCCCAAATTTCTATATAACTTAACATTAAAACACTTTTTTCAAGATTTCTGGACGAGTACAATAAAAACAACGTTACAATCTGGGCAATATCGACAGGCAATGAGCCGTCCAACGGAGTTCTACCCGTTAAACACTTCAACTCTCTCGGCTGGACACCTCTCGGGATTGCCAACTGGACAACGCATTATTTTGGACCACAGCTGCGTAGTTCAACCCACAATCAGACCTTGATCCTCGCCTTTGATGATCAGAGGCTGTTCTTGCCTTGGTGGATTGATCTGGTAATTATTAGACAAAAATTTTGCAATTAGTATTTTTACTCTATATTTTTGTTTACATCATGCTCTCAAATAAAACGTAGGAATGAGCTCGAAAATTTAATTGCTAGTGAAACATCTGGTGTGTATTTGTAGAATATTAGTTGGCAAGCGATTAGTGTGTGTGATTGCCTGCTCTGAGACTAGAAGGTCCTTAGCAAAACGACTGATAAAGAAATTTCTCCATCCTGTCAACTCCCAAACCATCTACCATCTGTAAGCCTCTTCTACATAGCTCGACCCCAGACGTATGAACTTCTTATGAGTTCAAACTGTACTTGACCAAGTCGAGGTTCAACCATTGACCCATGGTTTTGTCTGGTGAAAAGTTTGCTTGGACTGCTGCACTATTGATCATATCCAAATATACCATACTATAAGAATACTATATACAAAATTTAGGCAGTTTTAGGAAGAAATATGTCCCCTCCTCCTGATCCTGAGGTTTGCCAAAACTTCAATCAGCTGCAACATACATTAAGCAAAAATTAGTAGTGGAAGAACTTTCCCTCAAACTGCCTAAATCTTGTGAATCGGGTGGTAAATCCGACACTCTACGCCCTAGTGTTGTAGAGGTTTTGATCATTACACTTAGTTTGTAAGATAATTACCAATAAATTAGAACTGTAATTAGTTACCAGAAATGCAAACTGGGTTGTCTAAATATTTCATTGCCCTACTCAAGATGGCCAATAAAATGGTGATTAGCCTGACAATTTTAACATTTGTTGTTTGTTAACTCATTGACAATAACTTACGAGTATAGCTTGTGACCGCATTTGCAGCGAGACAGTCCTACTGCTTGGCCCTCAAATCCATCTTACGAGCGCTTGTCATGTGCTTATAGTTGCAATCGGCCAAATAAACTTAGGTGGCACGGTAGCTCAGTTGGCCAAGGCATTTCCCTGACTAGTTCACTACGTACTGAGGTCTTTCTACACGCGCAGGTTCAAATCCCGTTCATGAGAAATCCATATTGAGCCTGCTAACATGTGGCTGAGCTGGAGCTGGAGTGGAGGGCCCACCAAATAAACGGTGTCCGGCTTGAGTGGAAGATGATGGAGTGAGTTTAACAAAGATTGCACACAACACGCCCTGTTTTGCTTCTTTTTGCATCAGTGTAGAGAAGGAGGACACAGATTTGTCTTTTTTGGCTTTTATTTTGGTTTAAAATGGACATCAAGTTGAAATACTGTACATATATAATAAACAACTTAACCTTAAAATTAATTTAATAAAGAAATAAAAAATACTCTGGCTACAATGGGTTTAATCCTTATTAATCACATGATGTATTTTTTGCAGATGGTAAAGGCTAATCGCCGTGTGCTTGACTTCATAGATGGCATAGCAATCCACTGGTATTGGGATATGTTTATTTCGGACAATGTGATTAAAGAGCTCCATCAAAATTATCCGTCAAAATTCCTGTTGTACACTGAGGCATCACAGGGTAAGTATTTAAAATGCATTTAATTGATATTTAATTCTAAAGACTTGTTTTCACCTGTAAACCTCCTAGAGAGCACCTTTGTAATTTCCCAATTATATATTTTCCAATTACTATATGGTTGACTTGCTGAGTACCCGTCCTTCGTACGGGGTTGGTATACATGCTTATTGTAGTTAAATACTCGTGCTTTGCATTTGCAATGAGAGAGGACACGTTTTGAGAAAATTTGGTTAACTATAATCTACGGTATGCTATAGTATATAGAACATCTACCATAGCCATAATGTTCTATGTTTAGGTGAACCTAAACAATAGAAAGAAGTAAAGTCCTCGCACTCAGGTTTTTGATGCTGCTTGATTCAAATTAGCTGTTGTCATAAATGTATAAAGAACATGCAGGGTGCTGCACCCTGTTGGTAAACTGTATAATCTTTTAATGCTATTGAATATCATAGAAACAAATTGTGTAGTTGAAACAGCTGTCAAAATTATTTAATTCCTTTTAAATATGAATACTCATAAGGTTGACATGGGAAACTCTAGAGCCGCTGGGGCGGAGCCCGAAAGAATTTTTGAGGTAAGAATATGTCTATAATGTTAATCGGGAATGTGAGCTATCATCATACCAAATTTCAACACAATCCGACCAGTAGTTAATGCGTGATTGAACTTCAAACAAACAAACAAACAAATAAATAAACAAACAAATAAACAAACAAACACACAAACTTTCACATTTATAATATTAGTATGATGTAATAATGTTATTTCTGAAAGTTGTTACAAGACAAGTTTGTGAAAAAATGTCCTATTGATTTTATTTTACCTCTAATCACAGTGTATATTTCAGTGTACTAGAATTATCACCTAATTCCATAATTTCTATTCTTGACACAACAGACACTTTAATATGCCTCATAAAAGTCAAAAAATAGCTTCGGATAGCAAAACTCTTTCTAGTCTGAATGTTTGCTGATCCAAACTGGGACAGATCAGTGATTCCCCTCTATCAGGATGCATGTAGCAATCAGATTTATATTTTAATGGAATATTTTTAGTGAAGGATGGATGAGATTGTTTTGTAACTGGTTAAAACACTTGGATTTTTGTAATCGATAATTTGATTATTATTTACTAAAATCTTAACAGCACTTTAAATTAAGAATAAAAATTCTATATTCCGGCTGTTGATATTTTCTAGGGGATAAGCCGTGGGAGAAGAAAGTTGAACTCGGCTCTTGGGAAAGAGGAGAGGCTTACTTGGCAGATATTATAGAGGTGAATTAAAAATGGTATTACTTTATTATGACCGAAAAAAATATCAACATATACATTTTTTTAGACTTCACTAAACATTATGAAGATTTTAATTCTCAGGCCTTAATTGCTGGCATCCATACTTTAAGCACTGATAACTCAAAAAATCAGTATAAACCCTACAATCAATTGAATACATTGGAGGTTCCAAGAGGGGTGCTACAGGGGCTAAAGCTGATCAGACACAGGAGAAATCAATTAAAACATAAATTTTTTTCTAAAGTCCAAAGGTTTTGGATACAGTAAACAGTTCTATTTGTAAAAAATGGATTTAGAAAGTCTCCAGGAGTCTTTTAAAAGTAAAAAATTTTCAGGGGGGACCCCTGAACACCCCTCTTTTCTTGTAGGGTGTGGAATCTACTGTTGAATTGAACCACCAGCAGTCTGTGCTGGATGTCAATAACTTCTGATTCCTATCATAAGTACACCAACTTTAAATACTTTACTTGAAACCTAGTAAAACCGAGAAGACGACTTATTATCTATGCTAAGTATACTTTAGCATATTTTATGTGGTTATATCAAATGTCACTTGGTTTTTGACACAACAAAAATCAAGGGAGAAAAGAGATTTATTACAGTAGCGTACCGTTACTTTATGAGTAGCTCATTCAAATATTACATGTTTGATTTTAATGAAACATTGGCTACGGCTGGTTCATATAGGTGGAATTTCTACTTCAATATCTAAAATTCAATTGGCAAGTAAACATGTTATGGCATAGCTGTGTTTTACAACATTCTTCTCTTTATAACATAACCAAAGTCTCATACACAATCTTTTCTCACACTCAAATCACATCATTAGAACCTAAACGCATGGGTAACCGGTTGGATGGATTGGAACTTGGCTCTTGATGAGCAAGGCGGCCCGACCTGGGCCAAGAACTACGTCGACAGTCCGATCCTAGTGAACGCCTCTGGTGGTGAGTTCTACAAACAACCGATGTTCTACGCTATCGGACATGTGACCAAGTTCATCGAGAGAGACGCTGAGAGGATAGAGATATCTCCTAGTGACCAGACCGAGATACAAGCGACAGCTGTGGTCAACCCTGACGCAAGATTGGTGATTGTCATTATCAACAAGTGAGTATCATCATTGCCTTTGAAGACTTTTAGAATCCTACTGTTAAATCAGTATTATAGACTTACGATTATGAAGATGCTCTGATGATGCATGAAGATAATACTGATGGGTGTATTTGAGCCGAAATTATGTGAGTAAATAGATTAAAGATGCCTTTTGTAGCTTTGTTACTGAAACCAAACCTTTGTCCAAGACCATTCAAATCTCAATGATTACTGTAACAGGTTCATTACCAGCCATCACACTCCTCTGTATTAAGCCTACTGGCACCAGGTAGTGAATGATTTAAGGTGTGTTATGGTATGTTTTGGTGAGCGTTTAGTTAGAGTACGCTGCGTTAATACTTGTGTGTGCAGTGGCGGTTCTAAGGGGGAGGGGGATACAGGGGCTAAAACCTTCCCCTATTGTACCCTGGGAAAAAAAATTTTAACATACCATAAAAAACTGAGGTTTTTGGACACAGTTTAGGACGTTTAAAATAGCTTTCGAAATTTATCAAATTTTCAGGGTGAGGATCCCTTCTTCCTTTTACTTTACATCCCTTAAACCTCCGGTAGCCCCCCTTGACAAGTCCTAGAACCTGATTATAAACACCCATGATGTTTTGTTCTTTGTTGGCTGTAGTCTGCCTTAGGTAAGTTCAGCTTATGTAAATATTTCTCACAGACTTTAATTCTTTTGACATTTTCAGGGGTAACGTTGAAAAAAATGTTTCCATACAAGTTCCAAGGAAAGGATGGATGAACTTTAATCTACCAGCAAGATCATTTGCAACAATAGTTTGTGATTTGAAAGATTGATGTTCTAATCCACATTTGTGTTGTGAATAAAATGTGGCGAATCAGTTTGTTTTATCATTATACCCTTTTATCGTAATATAATTTTTTAACCCAAGACGATAGGGTTACAATTTTTACCAATTACCTTACCTGAGAAGTTTAAGTTTCACACTTCTAATCAAATCTAATCTAATCTAACCAAATCAGGCAAACCCAGATAGATAATGGAATGGTGATGTAGATTGGTTTCCCAAAGGTAAACAAACACATTAAATCTTCCTATGCTTTCTCACTTTTCCACTACAGACTAAACATATTGGCTTCCACATAACTTTAGGTGTCTGGGGAGCAATCTAATGGATTCCTAATGGTAAACAAAAACATGAAATTTTCCTATGCTTTCTCATCTCTCCGCTACAGACTAAATATAACCATACGATTTACACATGACTTTAGCATGTCTATAGAGTAATCTATAACCTCTAGATTTGTTTACCAGAGTGCCATATAAGACTTTAACCAAAGTTGACTTAACCTAACTCATTGTTGAGTGTTTAGGTTAACACTTAAAAATTGAAATCTAACACTCTTATTTCTGTGTAGACAAATGTACCAATAAATTAATTAAGTGATCTATTGGATAAGATTATTCTTTGGTTGGAAATATAATGTAGCTGCCATTTTAATTGTAAGGAGTATCTGAGGATTGTTCAGTTATACTTATTAACTTTGGACACTATGTAGATACTCTGTACCTATATCACTGAATAAAGATTGGCCTATATTGAGCAGAGCTGTCAAAAAAATGTTTCACTAAAAAGAAACCAGCTGAATAAGTTTCCAATGGAATCTGATAGTACGGTACTGATCTGTTTTATTTTCAGCTTTGTATGATAGTAGTGATGAAATATGCTGTAGTTTGAAGAACATTACTTAAGCAAATTTCCTACAGGGAATAAGTATAACAGAGACCTAGCCCTAACCGATTTACTTTTTTGTTTTGGGGTCCCCAGAAGCCCAAAAAACACCCATTTAAATTTATAGACAAAAAACTTAAACTGACATTTTGAAAGTCTGAAGAACTCAGATAACATTCTCTCATCAGCTTGCAAATGATTGTATATTAATATTTTGAAGTACCCCTCTTCTGTTGGTTTTGTAATTAAATTATACTTTGTGTGCTAAGTCTTGGAACACTTATCATTTCCAAAATTTCTCCATCTTCTAGATCTTCAACTAACAAATAACTGAATAGTATTTTGTTAAAGCCTATAAACTAATAATCCACTATCCCTACTTCAACTCGGCAACAGTCAAAAAGCAACTGAACGATTGTATAATAATCGCACAATGACAATGCCTACTGCAACGATTATTGCCGAGCGATAATTGCCCAACGATGATCGATGATCGACTGCAGTTCCAGCCACACCAGTGACAATGCACCTTTAGATGGCTCAATGTGACTTGTAATGTCAAACTATTGACTATATAATATATAAGATATAGTCAATGATCGAACTCATAGTGCAACTTTAATCTGAGAAAAAACATCAGTAAAAAAACTGTTTTGATTACTTAAAAAGGATTTGCACAAACATTGTGTTTGGATCATGGTCTGGTTTTGAAACATGGAAACTTCTTTTGTTTGCACATGATTGAACAGCCCCAAGCAACAGTTGTTACTACAATCTTGTGTCAATAATTACTCCTGAAAAACTGATAAACAGTTTCAGTGAAACTTTCCAGTGGTCACCACACATTTGCTCGAAGGTATACTTGACCGGATGACCTACCTTTTATTTGTAGTGATGTTTTGGTGGGAACTTATCAGCTGATTTATTCCTTAAAACTGTTATCAGTTGTCCATGATAGGTGTCAATAGTATTATCATTGTATTATTGACTGATTTATTAACCATTTGTACTATCGCTTATTTAATGGTGTATCCAATAATGTATCAATTAAAAACTCCTTAATAACATTTACATAGAATTTAGTTGGTGAAATACTGGCTTTACAAAAATATAAAAAAACAATGGTAATCATGGATATAACATTTTACTGCCCATTAATATCCCACAACAACAAGCCCAAAATACTCACAATTATTGTATTGATCCATTAAAAAAACAATATTGTTGCAAATCGATAAGTATACAGGACATGCAAAGAATATAAAAAAAAAACTAAAAATAGCAAAATAGTGTGCAAACTATGCACATAAAAAAACATCAAAGCAAACACATGTTTTAAACCAAATGGTTTAAAGGATTATTATCTTTGTGTTGAAATAATTGCCAAATCTACCACTTAAAAATAAAATGTCCAATGATAGCAATTCAGTATGATCAGCTGATTTTATTCACTCCAGTGCAACAGGCCATCTATCAAGATTGTCTACCATCTGAGTAAACAACAACAATGAAACTTTCCTTCGTCTGGTGGGCCTTGTCGTCACGTGACCACTAGCGAACCTTGGCGGGAATTATCAGCTGTTGGAACTGTCAGTATTGCTCGGCGCGTTGCCGCGGTATCACCTGTTTCATTTTGGTAAGCCAATGCCTTTGTAATATCGTTGTTGTAATTAGTTTTAATTCTTTGCATTGTTATCCTAGTTGCTTTAATGATTAAATTGGTATTTTTAAAAACTGTAAGAGATGCTGGTTTATTAAAAAAAATATTTAATTTTCTAGAGTTGAAATGTTTGTATGAATAAAAGAAAAGTTATATAGTGTATCATTAATATTATCATATTCTAGTGTGTATACGAGGTGTCATATTGTTTTTCTATGTTCAAGTTTTATTTAAAACTTGTACTTGTTCAAATAATTATTAGGAAATATCCAATTAAAATGGAAAATGTAATGTGAAATTCATAATAATACTGGGAATTTCTAAACATTTCGCTTTTAACCACCTATGTTATATCGTTATACGTCCTAACAGCCCAAATGGACTTTGAAAATCAAAAGGATTTTTTTGTAACCGCGATGTTTCCCAACTTCCCTGTATGTAAAATTAACAACCCCCGAAGGATTTGCGTGTAAACCGACACACGCGATACAGTAACATTAAAAACGCATCATTACATTGTCGCTATGCAGCAACGCTGAACAACAGGGTAAAGTTAGTGTTGAAATATGTTGCTCGGAGCAATAACAACATTTTTTATGGGTTACTTAATTTAATTAATTTAATTAATTAATTAATTTAATTAATTAATTAATTAATTTAATTTTGGTTTTAATTACCTGGGTGAATGTAGAATTAAATGAATTAAAATGTGTAGTTTTGTTACTGGCCAGGTAAGGGAGTATGTTTTATCTATGGTAAAATCTTTCCTAAACCAGGACCACCTATTGCCCCTAATCAAAGATAGCTGGGTCCGGTTTCGAACCATTCAAAATCATAGTGATGTATCTCAGGATCGAACTGGTGTACTTCTGATTAGGTACGGTACTATAACCAGCTACCCTTTAATAATGGTTTAGTTTCATATCGCCACGTTGAATATAATATTACCTGTATCGATTCAAAGGCATAGTTATAATACGTCTAGCATCTATTGATCGTCTTGACGAACCTGTGTACTGTTAAACGTTTATATTAACACCAACAGATTGAGAATACTTATTTCCAGTAGCTATTCTGGTTATCTATGTCCCAACACTGTTTTAGAAACGGGGGCAGGAGACGAAAAGGGGTGTAAGGGTAGTGGAGAGCGTTCCGATCAATATTTTGATGAGGGCTCCTTAACCTATAAACTCTGCTTGGACTAGTTTTACAAAATATTTTACCTTCGTTTGGATTTTTGTAAAAATTGCATCCCTCATTGATCCATCGTGAGTTCTGGTTGTGAATATATTCACTTTATTCACTCAACAATTACAAGGTTATCTTGCTTATTTATAGAAGTCAGTGGAATAATACAATAAAATTATGCAAAAATGTTCGTTTCCAGATTTTTCTCTGCTAGTAATTATTCTTTTAATACAAACAATTAGGCACTACTTCTTAAGTTTTTCTAATTGGCAGTTGATGAATAATGATCAATGTTTAATTACCGGTACTGACAATGAACACAATGTCCTAACTAAAATTCATTCCATAGTAAGTAAATTAGTTATCCTGAACATGATCTTTCAAACCTTGAAAAGTTGTTTTTATTTTAAATTTCGCATCTAGAGGGATACGGGATTATTACGGGGGGGGGGGATTATGGTTTATTCGCAACAATACTTTATTTGACTAGTTAAAAAAATACTTTGATCTTATTTTGTCCACAAAGTCCATGCTAATAGAATTTGTTGAAAAAATGAACCGTTATTTGTGATTTTTACAAAATATATTACAGTTTCTCATTCTTTCTCGGACATTTTCCGTGCATGTCAGCTGTGCGTGCAGCTGTTAGCCAAGTTTTGCTGTGTCAGCTGACGTGATGTTACACGGGTTTCAAACTTTTATAATGTAGGTTAGATCATGTACCCATTAGGTCCTGTATCAGCTATTTGATTTATTTTAAAACTTGAAATGTTTTTTGTATTATGAGAAAAAGTTATTTTTTTATGACGTTTTTAATATTTTAATGTAGAAAAATTTTAATTTGTGTACTAATGTATAGACTAGTAGGTCTAGTACGGAGTGAACTGAAACTGCTAATTTAAAAAACTGTCGTAGGTTAGTCACACTAATTTTACCCAACGATCGCATAAAGATAGTGGGTAGGTACTGCACGATTAGAAATTTATGGTACAGAAATTTAACATTTGCCCGTTTCTGTAAGTAAGTGTTTACTCATAGATTCAGTCTGGAATTTGACCTCTTTCAAAACAATGTATGAAACCATAACGTGGCCGACTTGACGCACCTTTGTATTGGTTGATAAGAGCGCCAAAGTTCAAAACTGAACTAAACGCAACACTTATCTCGTGCGACTTCCGAGATGAAATGTGTAAAAAGCCACGCAACCGGGAGCAAAGTTTAAACTTCAAATTGAGATAGGCTGATAATACTGTTTACGCATTTAATGTATTTTAGCATGCACAAGTTTAAGCATTAACAG